TATTGAATTTGGACTACTACTGACCAACGCTAACAGACTACCTACTGTTTAAAAGGCCCTCTAGTGGCGCAAGAAGACGGATTTTATCAAATAAAAACCAGTTGAAACTGCATTTTTATGAATAAAAATTTGACAAACTATTTATCGTTTTATGACGAGTAAAAATTTTTTCGTCGCGTTCGCAGCTTTTAAGTAATGCATAAACCTTCGAAACGCGAGGCCCTTCGGACCGCGAGGCATAGGCAGTGGCCCACGTCGTCCATGCCTTACGCCGCCCTTGGTCATAGAAATGATGTAATTTGAATATAAATTATTTATAAATACGTATGTCAAGTTATATTTTTATTTCTACATAAAATATATTAAGAGTTTATGACCACTGTGCTGGGTGAGACGTTGTTGAAACAAAAAAGTTATGCATTCCATCACGTGCATAAACAGTGTCGTAATTAGCCAAGTGCAAATCAGCATATTCGTAAAATTTTGTTTATTTTGAACAATCCGGATAATCGAAAATCCGGATAATGGAGGTCCAGATAATGGAGGTTCTACTGTATATTAAAATCACGATAAAATATTTTCGCACGGGAAAAAATTTTTGAAAAAATTTGAAGACTTAATAAACATCCAAAAAAAACGGAAAAAATTTTTTCGGAGGGCCCAAATGCCCGAGTTTTATATAATGCTATGAAACTTGCCCGAGTTATCTCAGGTTTTAAAGATTGCAGCATTACTTCTTGCCGCCTGCAGATGGGCTGTGATTGGTCATCCATATTCAGCAAACGAGATCAACAATGCAGTTAAGGAGACAAATTCCCTGACTTTCCCTGACTTTTTCCAAACACTAATGAAAATCCCTGATTTTTCCTGACTTTCCAGGTGCGTAGGAACCCTGTATATATAAAAAAATTAGAAGGAAGGTTAATTTTAAACTGAAATTAATTGAGGAATTATTCAATAAATATGGTAACAGTATTGAGTAGTAATGGTGCATTTTTTAAAAATACAGTAATACAAGCTCTAAAATGATCAAATATATATTGTATTACTGTATTTTCCATGGTAAGAGAATCACATTTGCCTTCTCTAGGCTGCCTCCTAGGTTAACACTTTTCGAGCAAATCTGAAATATGAGAAAGTAGAAACTTAGAGAATTTGTATGATATGTGCAGCAAAGAAAAAAGAACTTTAGTAAAGTATTTTTGCAAACAATGCAATTAGCCTCTTTGTCTCATCTAATGCTTCAAACATTATCACATAAAAGTAAACTTCACATAAATCTGTGTAGTACTATTTTTTATGTTGTTATTATTTTTATATTATGGTCAGTATTTTTTTTCATTATTTCTGTATTTTCTATGATATTTGAATTATGTGTATTTCTGCATTTTTCCATAGTTTTGTATTACCTTTGTCTTTTATTAGTATTTTTGTATTATTTTTTCTTATTTTTCATCTGTAAATAAAGAAATTGATTTACTGTATATGCTTTCTTTAAAAATAAAAACAAAACATAAATTACAAACTAATCTTCCCTCTCCCATTATGAGTTATATATTTCTCTAAGCAGCTATAAAATGACAAAAAGATATAAAGTCAATCAAAATAAAAATTAGCCAAGCACAGCTTTAGAATCTGAACAAGCTATACTAGAGCCTATTATTTACATAGCTATCTCCATTTACCTTGCTGCAGGGTGTGGTTACATTTACAGAAATCTCAGTGAAGAAACTTTCTGCTACAATATTGTTTACATATTACTATTTACA